ATTAATTTATATTCATTACAACAGTTATAAATTAGTATTACGAAAATAAAACATTTAATTATAAAACAGTTATTAAATCACAATTAACGTTTCATAAAAAATCTAGAAATAACCCATTTGATTTGTAAAACATATTTTGTCTTGTCATTCCCAACCATATAGATTAATGTGTGAAGAAAAAAAATAGGCAGTAGAAAATTGTGGTCTACAACTCTGTCGCTATAAATAAGGGCCAAATTTCGCCAATTCCCAAACTGTTTTCCACCATGAATTTTCCTAATTACATAATCCTAATTTTCATTTTCCATTACTTTCAATTTCTCCAAGATCTCCCTCATTCTCAAGGGCTCCCCATCCCAAAATAAGAGAATTGTGTAATTTTGGAAGGAGAAATTGGGTTTAAATATAGGTGAGAAAATGCTAAAAAAGAAATCAAGTTTAATTTTGAACTACTTGATCTTAATTATTGAAAATGAAGGGCGGAGATTATTTAAAAATAAAAAAATAAGAATTATATATATATATATATAATAAAATAAAATATATAAACATGTGAGAAAAGGGTTACATTGATATTCTTTTGATTTTTGTTAAACCGAATAACAAGTCATGTCAGCATTTAATGCTGTCATGATATTTTTTTTGATAAATTGAAAAAGTTACCGTTAGTATATTTTTGATTTTGATTTCTTTTAATTACTTTTGTTTTGTTTTCTTATTTATTTTTAAATAAAACTAAATTATCGACTTACGAGCCGTCCATGTCATCTTCTCGAGTATTTTTCTTTTCTTGTTTCGATCGTAGCTTCTCCGTTTAAACTTCGATTTAGATGATCCAATAGTCGTTGGAATTGTTGTAACAAGCTCTACGCTGTGCATACTTTATAATACTAAAAAATTCAATAAATAAAATTAAGTTTGTTATCATTAAAATATTAGTTAATTAATTAATTAAAATTAATTGAGGAGAATTGCATTTGGTAATAAATTAGTTTTATATATTTAACAATATAGCACACATTTTTTACATTTACAAATATAGCAATTTTTTTAGATTTCTGATTTTGGATATTTCAATATTCTCAAATTACCCTTTCCAGACATACATATTGCAAGTATATCAGACACTCATATCAGTATTATATCAAATGTATATCATACATTTATATTTCAAATATATCAAACACTCATATCAAATGTATATTATACGTTTTTTTTTTTTTGAAAAAGTGTGCTATATTTGAAAAACTAAATCATGGTTGCTATTTTGTTTATTTTGCTAATTTTTTTTGACATATCTCAAGTTGTCTCATTAATTAATTTGAGATTAATGGACAAAAAGCCAAGAGAAGAAGAATAATTTCATGAATTAGAGAGAGAAGAATATAGAGAGAATAAAAAGTGATTTGAGGAGGGTAAAGTACGTAATTTTACGTATAAGTAATACAAGTAAAAGTATAAAAATCTTACGTTTCAAGAAAGTTGGCATATTTCAAGTCGGCATGCGAAATAGGACATCCATTCCAAAAACCCATATATTTCTTAGAAATAATATCTTCGGAGGGTTGTTTTAGACACTTAATTACACAAATGTCTAAATTTTTCTAATTTTACACTTTTAGATTTCTGCATGTAGGATTTTATTTTAATTCYGATTTTACCCTTATTTATTGCATTTACATTTATTATAATTATTTGTTTTTTTTAATATAACAAATTTAATTCCATAAATTATTATCATAATCTTTTAATTATTGTGGGTCCATACTAATTTTCAACACAAATCCCCTAATTCACTCATTTAAAACCATAATTTACTCCTTCAAAAAGATTGATTTTCCCTTAATTCACTCTCACATGGGTGCTCAATCTTCAAAGACAACTCAAAATCACATAAACATCTTTTGAAGTCTCAATAATTATATTAGTAGTATATTAGTTGTATATCAGTGGTAAATTAAAAGTATATCAAGTATATATCAGACATATATATTAGTGGAAATCGAAGGGAATCGAAATGTATGGTTTTCTGGGCTTCCACATATTAGGCGTGTTTTTTGGTTTCTTGTGCTTATGTTTTTTTGGTTTCTTGTGCTTATGTTTGGGCCTGTAGGGCAAAGTTTTTCATTTAATATGTGGGTTTTTTTTTCTTTGAAAAAGTGTGCTATATTTGAAAAACTAAAACATAGTTGTTATTTTGTTTATTTTGCTAATTTTTTTTGTCATATCTCAAGTTGTCTCATTAATTAATTTGAGATTAATGGACAAAAAACCAAAAGAAGAAGAATAATTTCATGAATTAGAGAGAAGAATATAGAGAGAATAAAAAGTGATTTGAGGAAGGTAAAGTACGTAATTTTACATATAAGTAATACAAGTAAAAGTATAAAAATCTTACGTTTTAAGAAAGTTGGCATATTTCAAGTCGGCATGCGAAATAGGACATCCATTCCAAAAACCCATATATTTCTTAGAGATAATGTCTTCGGATGCCTGTTTTAGAAACTTAATTACACAAATGTCTAAATTTTTCTAATTTTACACTTTTAGATTTCTGCATGTAGGATTTTATTTTAATTCCGATTTTACCCTTATTTATTGCATTTACATTTATTATAATTATTTGTTTTTTTTAATATAACAAATTTAATTCCATAAATTATTATCATAATCTTTTAATTATTGTGGGTCCATACTAATTTTCAACACAAATATCTTAATTCACTCATTCAAAATCATAATTTACTCCTTAAAAAAGATTGATTTTCCTTAATTCACTCTCACATGGGTGCTCAATCTTCAAAGACAACTCAAAATCACATAAACATCTTTTGAAGTCTCAATAAACATAAATTTGCATATTCAAAAAATATATTTAAAATTACAATATATATCCTCTTATATATCTGCATATATACATTCAAAATCATTATAGTATATATCAACATATCCGCATATATACATTCAAAATCACTATAGTATATATCTGCATATATACAAGTTGAGTTATAAGATATATCCTAATTAAATCACTATACTATATATCCTCACATATACAATATTTCACACCAAATCAGAAATTGAAAACGTCTGTTGGAATGCAAACCTTTCAATCGGGAGATGAACTGCTCTAGAGACTGAGAAAAATGGAGGCGACCAGAGATGAAGGCAGGCAAACATGAGCCGGAGACGAAGGCAAGTAGAAACGCTCGGAGAATAAGAACCGATGAAAATCTCTTTTTGAAGGCGGCTGGAGATGAAATGCTCTTGCCACAAAGAAAAGCAGAGCTGGCCGGAGAGGAAGGCAGACGGTCGGAGAAGAGGAACGAATGGTTGGAGAAGAAGAACGGACGATCGGAGAAAGAAAAGAAAAATGAGGAAGAAGAAAGGGGTGAGTTTCGGAAATAGATGTGTTTTTTGGGTTTTGGGATCTTTTAATTTTGGAAAGTATCATGGATTTGACCTCCTAATTTACCAATTCTAAATTTTAATAATTATTTAATATTGAGATGGATCCTTAGGATATATTAGTATGTTATGGATACCATCTAATTAGGGATTATTTCATGACAAAAGTGTATTCTTTACGTAATTATGATTTTTAAATAGATCATCTATGTACTTATCCTTATTTCTTAATACAAAACCGTGGGCTTAAAAGTCCACTTGAAGTCATAATGTGAAAATGAATTTGCCTCTTCCCTTTTTCTTTATCTTAAAGTTATTTTTGAATTATGATACTTTTTTCTCCCTTCGTTTATATAATTCGTTTTACCTTTTTTTAATTATATAATAAATAATAAATAATTAATTGATTTTACTTTTTTTTCTTTGGGGCAAGTATGAAGTTGATAACTATTTAGTCATTAACATTTAAAAAAAATTTATTTTAATTCTTAAAAAAAATGGTTTTAAATGGTTACCAAACCGACTGGAACATTATTTGATTAATAAAAATAAATTGTTGATCCTACTTTGTGATTTGGAAAAAAAGATAATTTAATAAAATAAAAAATTGCTCCCTAAACATCATCTCTTATTATTATTATTATTTTTAATTATGATGCTTTTTCTTTTCTCCCTTTAGAGAGTTAGATTTTAGTTTTTCTTCATTTTTTATTTATTATGTTTTTTGGGTTGTCAATTTATAATTTTTTAATCAAGTGCACCATTTAGTTTTTATTTTTTGCTTGGAATAAATGGACACATATATAAGTTATCATATGAACTTAAATTTTGTTTCCACAATATTTCTAAAAAAAAAAGTTTTCAGAATTTCATCAAATTCTGTTAAATGAGGTAATTTGATTTTTTTTTGGATAATATTTGAATTAGGAAAAAAGAAACAAAGGGTTTCTGGGGAATTTCAACTAAACAAGGACAAGAGTGCATTTCAATCAATTTTTATCTTCCAAGGGGCAATGAACCTGTGGAAAAAGGACTTGGGTCAGTCTTCCATTACCTTTCAAGTTGACTTGTGAAATCAACAATGTGAAAACTCTCAAAATTGGTCTAATTTTCACATAACTTTATAGGTTAGAAGATAATGAGATTTAGAGAAAAAGAATGTTGTTGTGCCGTGGATAGGACTACTGCGTCAAGCAATTACGGCACAACTATAGTCCTAAATCATATGTATGCTCTGGTTGCTCCTATGGTTAGTTCAACACACAACTCGAACATGTACATGTTAGAGCAGATTGGAATCGAAGAACTAACTCATAAATTTGTAAAAAGTTGAGAGAGAAAACTGTAGAAACATGTGAAAAACATTTTGTCATTCTATATATTTTTCCTTCAAACAAGCAAATCCATATATATGGATTAAACCAAGCAGATCGTTATAAAATAAATTAAACATTATTAATGGATACAATTAATTTAATTCGTTAGAACAATTATAAATTAGCGTCACAAAAATAAAACGTCTAATTATAAAATGATTATTAAATCACAATAAACGTTTCATAAAAAATCTAAAAAATAACTCATTTCCTTTGTAAAACATATTTTGCCTTATCATTCCCAACTGTATAGATTAATGTGTGAAGAAAGAAATGCGCAGTGGAAAATTGTGCTCTATAACTCTGGCTATAAACAAGGGCCAAATTTCCCCAATTCCCAAAATGTTTTCCACCATGAATTTCCCCAATTACATAATCCTAATTTTCATCCTCCATTACTTTCCATTTCTCCAATATCTCCCCCATTCTCAAGGCCTCCATTTTAATAACATCACTGATCAGGAAGCTCTCATTTCATTCAAATTCTCAACTTCTGACCCACATGGCGCCTTGAGTTCTTGGCTTCCAAACACTTCTTTCTGCTTCTGGCATGGCGTTCTCTGCAACCCAATTAAGCGCCGAGTAACCGGTCTCCAACTCGGGAGTCACTCACTCGCGGGACCCATTTCCCCCCACCTCACCAACCTCTCCTTCCTCCGCCACCTCGACCTGCAAAGCAATAACTTCTCCGGCACAATTCCGATGAAGATTCATCGTATTTTCCGCTTACGATTTTTGGACTTGAGTTCCAACAGTCTTCACGGAGCCATTCCCCAATCTTTGAGCCGCTGTTCTCAGCTTCGAACCATTAATTTGTATGATAACAAACTTCATGGTACCATTCCTTCTGAATTGGGTACCTTATCAGAGCTTCAAAATTTGAATCTTGGCCAGAATAACCTCTCTGGACCCATCCCTTCTTCATTTGGTAATCTTTCTTCCCTCGAGCAGTTGAATTTAATTACCAATAATTTAGAGGGTCCAATCCCGCTTGAATTAGCCCGTCTCAATCGGCTCTGGTATTTGCAGTTAGGAGACAACAAAATCTCAGGCAGTTTTCCCACCCACCTCATGAATATTTCTTCCTTGAATTCGTTTTCTTTGACCAAGAATCAGATTTCTGGTAAATTTCCATCTAATTTGTTCACTGTACTGAGTAATCTCTCCATTGCGTTTTTTGGAGGAAATCAGTTCACCGGCTCAATCCCAGAATCTCTTTCAAATGCCTCCACCGTCGAAAAACTTGACCTCTCAACTAACCAATTTTCTGGAGAAATTCCTTCACTTTGGAAGCTACAAATGATCCAATATCTGAACCTTGAGATCAATTATCTAACAAGTGAAGGAAAGGAAGGCCTTAACTTCATCACTTCACTTACCAATTAACTCACCTGAAAGTGTTGTCTGTGGCCACTAATTTACTCACTGGTCAGCTTCCACCCTCCATTGGAAACTTGTCCAACCAAATTTTTAAACTTCTCATGGCAGAAAACCAGCTCAATGGAAGCATTCCTGGAGAAATTGGCAATTTGGGTGGTCTCATCTCTCTATCCTTACCTCTCAATTCCTTCACAGGGAACATTCCTTCTTCATTTGGAAACCTCAAGAACCTGCAGTTTCTATCTTTAGAATCAAATTTTCTTTCGGGATCCATCCCTGAAACACTTGGGAATCTAAGCCAACTCTCCCTGTTTGCAGTTAATGATAACAACTTGAGTGGTGAAATCCCTCTAAGTTTAACAAGTTGGGAGCGTCTCCTCCTTCTAGATCTATCTCAAAATGGGTTCATTGGGAACATACCGAATGAAATCTCTAGATTCACAACTCTGTCGTTCTTCATGTTTCATTCAACAAGTTTACAGGGTCATTGCCTTCTGAAATTGGCAAGTTATCAACGGTTGAGATTTTGGATGTCTCCAGAAACCAACTCTCCGGACACATTCCAGCTACAATAGGCAGCTGCTTGAGTCTTGAAGACTTGAACATGTCTGGAAATTCTTTCCAAGGCCCAATTCCGAGTTCATTTGCCAATCTGAGAGGGATAAATTCCATAGACCTTTCATCAAACAGGTTGTCTGCAAAAATCCCTTCCCTCGATGGTCTTCGATACCTCCAACACTTGAACCTCTCTTCCAACAAACTACAAGGAGAAGTACCCAGAAGTGGCATCTTTCTCAACATTTCCAAAGTATTTTTATCCAACAATCCCGAGCTCTGCGGCGGCGTACTTGAATTTGGACTGCCAAAATGCCCTACCAGCTCAATTGGCAAGAGAAAAAATGGGAAATTAATCGCGGGAATTGTTGGAGGAGCAACTGGTTTGTGTATTGCAATTGCTTTGGGTTTTGTCTTGCGCATGAAGAGACGGAAACGGGTGGTGATTTCATTTGAAGGGCTGGATCATAGACTATATTCCTACTATGAACTAAAACATGCCACATGAGATTTCACCAATGAAAATCTGATCGGAAAGGGGAGCTTTGGATCTGTTTATAAAGGTGTAATGCGAGACGGTACTTGGATCGCCATTAAAGTGATCGACTTGGATCATCGTTGTGGAATGAAGGGCTTTCTTACCGAATGTGAAATCTTCAGAAACCTGAGGCATCGAAACCTCGTGAAGATCCTCAGTGCTTGTTCTACCATGGAATTCAAGGCACTAGTTTTTGAATTCATGGCGAACGGGAACTTGGAAACTTGGCTTCACAGAAGATCAGAGCGTTGGCTAACTCTAAAGCAAAGAATAGACATAGCTTTAGATGTTGGAGCTGCAATGGAGTATCTTCACCATGGATTGGAAACTCCTGTAGTTCACTGCGATCTTAAGCCCAGCAATGTTCTTTTAGATGAAGAAATGTGGGCCCATGTTGCAGATTTTGGGCTTGCAAAATTGCTTCAACCACAAGCCCATTCTGGAGACATCACTAGTGGGCTAAAAGGATCTATCGGCTACATTGCACCAGGTTCTATCTTTTTTCTGAAATTTCATTACCTTGAGATGGAGGGTAGAATGAGTAATTTTAAAAAACGAGATTTAATTATAATTGATTTAACGTCTAAATGATACTAAAAAATAAATTTAGAGTGATTTTAGGTATGTTTGGGGGTGATGGTAGAATAAGTGATTTTGGAAAAAAATATTTAAGTATAATTAGTTTTCCAAAATCATCATCCAAGTGATACCTAAGAATCAATTTTAAGTGATTTTTAAGTTTTCATAAAATCAATTTTCTAATTTGCAAAACATAATCAATGGAGGAGTGATTTTGACAGTAGCAAAAGTGATTTTGGCCATCCAAACACACTCTTAAACTTTTCTAAAATCAATTTTTTACTTTGCCAAACATTATTGAAGGAAAGGGAAGCGATTTTGGTAATACCAAAAGTCAAAATGACTCCCAAGCACATCCTAATTAACTTTTGATTTAAGTGAGGTCGAGATTTGTTAAAATCAAATTAAAAAATTTATGAACTTAATTGAAATTCTTTAAAAGGTAGGGACATGATAGAAAATTCATTTTTACCGACTAAACTTATAATTTAACTTCTTTTTTCGCTGGATAAAAATTTTAAATAATCTCACATGGAGTAAAGTGATGAAATTTGTAGAAATATAATTTGAAGATAAATATCTATAGTTGTATGAAGGCTAACTTTGAGTATTCAATAAGTAAAATCATACTAATCTAGATTTGACATAAAATTATATGTTTACAGAAGGACCAAGATTAGAGTTATGAGTTAACCTTTTCTTATAATTTCAGAGTACGCCTTTGGTGTTGGAATATCAACAAAAGGAGATGTTTATAGCTATGGGATTCTTCTTCTTAAAATGCTCACCGGAAGAAGTCCATTAGAGGAGATATTCAACGGAGATATGAACCTTCCAAGATGGGTGGAACTTGCCATTCCAAATATGGTGATTAATATTTTGGATGAGAGATTGAAAGAACTTTCTTTTCAAACTAACATAGTAGACTCTTTGGTATCTATTTTAATTACGGGATTGAGATGTACAAGTGAGTCACCCGATGAAAGACCAGAAATGAAAGAGGTGTGAAATTATTAAAAAGATTCAATCCCAACTATTCAATTAAACCCCTTCAACTACTAATCCTCATGGTTATAGATGTATCTCCTTTTGCAACCTGTTGTTTTGGTTCAACTTTCTTTTTCTTCTCTACCTCGTTGGTCACATCAAGGATTGGTGGATCTCATCATGAAGTTCTTCATAATCTAGCTCACTCCATATTTCACTTTGTTCTTCTCCTTCTCGCACTAAGGATTTTATGTTGGTAGGCAATGCTTCAAGTGGACTACTCTTTAGCTCATCGACCAATTGCCCCGTTTGAATCTCCAGGCTGTGCGTTGAGGAAACTTGACTTTGGATGGTCGCCGTTTGACTTCAAATTATTGCTTCATTATTCACCAAATATTCTATCGTAAGCTCCTTTTCCGATGACTGCATTTGTCCTGACATCCATATTGTTGATCGTAATCTTGCTGAGGCTGTACAGAGAATTCTTGTGCAAATGTTTGTGCATATTGCTGAACGGAATTAGAGAATAACTTTCAACATGTTGTTCTCCCCACGAGAAGTTGAGATGATCTCTCCCYAATCTTGGTTAAAGATGTTCGAATAAGGGCTTTGAGTTCCACTGGTTCTCTTGTTGACCTAGAAAATAATTAGAATTAGGATTAGATGGACAATAATCAAATGGATGGTTATCACCACGATATTATACAAGACAATTGATTTTGATGATATTATATGTATCACAATTGATTCTCATTATTTGTTTTCTCACGACAAATGAGAAAACAAATAATCTCTAGAATAGAAACAGTGTGGCAATTACCCCAAACAACAAATCACGAAAAAATGAACTTTTTAAAGAAATAAAAATAGTCATCGAGAAACTTGTTTGGTTGTAAATGGGTTCTGCTATAGCAAGAAAGATTTGAGTGCAAGCACACACCGTCATGAGTAGTAATTAGGAAACACTTAGGCTTCTTATTTTGTCTCCACAGGGAGCAAGTGTTTTTCTTTTAAAAAGTAAAATGTAGGTGAGATGTTGATTGAGCAATTGGGTTTGATGGATAGAATATGATTGAGAAAATATGTGGGTTTGGTTTTAGTTACCTAAAATAACAAAGGTCAGCCAATTAACTAAAAACACGATAAAGGAGCACAACTAGGTGTCAGGAATCTCCCACTTTAAAATGCACTATTCTACTTCCTATATGAAAAGTAGCATTTTTTCCCGCAAAAAATGCGCCCCTACAATTAGAAGACCAATTTTCTAGTAGTGCTAAGCGATCTCGAAGTATTAATTCCGAACCTAATATGTCTATTAGAAAAGAAAACTTAGTTTATTAAAAAATAATCGCAATCTCAGGTAAAGATCATATGTCTAGACTATTTGAAATGAAACCTTTATGCCTAAAGTCTTCCTCTCTTGGACTAAAGCAACCAAGTATTGTAAGAAATAGTTTAATCTTTTCAATATTGAATTTGAGAATTCATTGGCCAAATTAACTCATTAACTTTTGAAAACAACTTAATTGATAAAGAAATTATCGAAATCTTTTTGCCCTTGTTGTCCTCTTTTTAAAAGATTAGTTAATTCTCCATAATGGGTAATAAAAATGGAATTTAGCTCATATTTGTAATATAAAAATATAATTTAATAAAGTTGTAAATAGAAGATACATTTAAAGAAGAAAATGAGAAATATGTTGTAGTTTGAGAGAAAAGTTGTAATCCAAATAAACTTTACGCTGCTGTTTCAAGCCTAGGGGAGATGAAAAGAATAAATAATGCTAGAATTTTATAAATGTATTGCAGTTTACAAGCCAATAAAATGTCAAGCTAGAAATTGCTTGAAAAACTAAACAAAACCTTAAAAAAGAGCTTAAATTTAAAAGATAAACAAATGTAAAAACTAAATGCAGAACTAAACTAAGTTGAATTTGATCACTTTTGGATGATGAATTGAATGGAGGAGTTGTTGGAATAACTTATAGGTAGCATAGAGGTTGTTGGGAGGTTGAGAGCAGTGAGGCCATCCATTGATCTCCAACTCCTTTGACTGATTTTTTCTGTTGAACAACCATCTCTTCTTGCATGAGTCACACGTGGGCTGAAACGTGCGTTTCACTAAGGCCAATTTCAAGGAGACACCTGGCGTCTATGTACAAAAACGTAATTTTCGATGATAAGTTTCCAACTCTAATTTCTACCTCAGCTTAATATATGGATGCTTAGACTATGATAAGGCAGTAGGCATGAATTTAACACAAATCTGAACTTTTAAACATGATTTCTAAGTAAAATAAAGTTGAAAAGTACATGATCGAACTCCTTTTTGTTCTTGTAAACGGATATTTACTGGAGTAAGGACCTTTAAGTCTCTTGTTTTCACGAAACCCCACCGCTTATTACGGTCGGGAACTGTTCAAATCTTGAAAGTCATGTATTTTGAATTGTTGTCTTTGATATATGTTGCGTTGAAACGAAATTCTTGAATTTTCTTGGAGAAGTACATGCGAATCTTGGAGTCTACTTGCCGCTCCTTATTGTTGTTTCTTGTTTCTTGTTCTTCTTGATTGTTCATGTTAAGCGATTATAAGGAAGTTTGCTTCAGCATTATTGTTGTTTCTTGCTGCTTGTTCTTCTTGATCGTTTTTGTCAGTGGCGGATCCAAAATTTTTGTTTAGGAGGCTTAAGGTAAAACTCAATAAACATGTTTAGCAAACTTAGTCTCGAACAATCCAATTATAAATTGTGGATCTAGAACATTATGTTTGGTAGATTGTATAAAAATAATTCGAACGCATCGATATGTATTTAGTTTATATATTTTGATACTAAATTAGTTAAGTTAACATTTTTTTCTTTAAAGCTTCAATATTACGTTTAATAGGTTGAACTTAAAAAAAAATTATAATAAATTAAACAATTTTACATCTAATAAGTCCATATATATATAACTAGGTTTCTGAACCAATAAATTTTTTTTTTTTAGAGAGAATATGAACTTAATAGATTGTTGAACTAAAAGATACGATAATACAATCGGTTAAGTAAGGTCGTTTGAACCAATAAATTCTTGAGCTTTAAGAAAGTCAAATAGGTTAAGGGTTTATTAAACATAAAATTGAGAGAGAATCTATTAGATGCAAAAATGAAAGTTACGGACACATTTGATATTTTTTAAAGTTTAGGAACCTATTAAACATAACTATCATATATTTATGAAATACTATAACTTATTATTTATCCAACTTTGTGCAATAAGACATATAGAACAAAATTTCTAGGTAAATATAGAAGAAAAAGAATGAAGTTGAAATAATAAACCAAAGTTTATTTTTTTATAAGAATTATAGAATTTTTAGCCAATAAATTATTTGTAAAATAATTTACTGAAGTTAAAAATATTTTTTTATTCATTTCCATTTGTATTTAACACAATATCAATGTTTAAAGAAACTAAAAAGTTTATAACATATATTATTATTATTATTTCTATAATATCACTACTGACTTTTTTTAGAAAAAAAATACTAAAAATTTTATAATATATATTATTTTATGTATAATATCACTGCACAATTCAAATAATAAAAAAAAGAGAAGTAAAATATCACTGCAGATTTTTCTCCTAAAGAAACGTTATTTATAATAATGATAATAATAATAATAATAAAAGAATAAAAATTTGAGAAGGACAGAATTCAAACCGTGGCCATGAGAGGGCTTGGGCGCTGTAATTTTTACAGAATATATATATTAAAAGCATACATTCTAAAGTTGAGGGGCTCGAGCCCCCTCTAAAGCCAACGTACATCCGTCCCTAAATTTCGTTAAGTAATCAAAAGGAAGTTTGCTTCAATTTTCTGGTCATTGCACCTATCTTGTCGCATTTCTTCAATGGAATCTTCAACTGTGGTGGGTGAAAGATTTGGGAGACAGGGTCATGAATAGAGCGGAGATAAATCTAACCCAATTAACCATAAAAGAAATAAAGTAATTATAACTAAAGCAACTAATCATTTACTGCCAGTAAGTACATCACTCGGTAATAATTAATTTGAGTATTTTAGTGTTAGTAATTGTAGAACTTAAAAGTTACGATCGCAGCAACTTTTGAAACCGTCCAAATCGGAGTAAAATTATGCAAATTATAATAAAATAAGTCTCCTAAAGAATGACCCAGTTGTGAGCTCATCCAAAATTTTCCAACTCTTTCCTTTGTAAGAGATTTTGACCGTCACCCAAGGGCACTTAGAGGATGTTTGACTTCCTTTAATTTAATATTTTCAAATTATAGATTTTGTCCTCTAATTAGGCGTTGACACGTGGCACCAATGACATTCACTCCTCTATATTTTTATTTGAAAGTTGCAGAAAAATAAGAAAATCTTTATAAAATTTCATATTTGATTGAAACGTTCTTCCATATTTTCTTGTGACTTTTTGAGTGAATTAAACATTTTTGTTTGACTAATTGAGAGCCCTTAATTATTGTAAGTTTCCATCCTTCTTTATCTGCTATCAAGTACCCATACTCGCGAGTGGACAAGTGCATACCAGGGTTCAAAATATCGAGAGACATGTCAACCTGTCGCTAGACATGTCGAGCATGTCGACATCGATATAGGGGGGAAAAGTCGATTTTTCCCCCATGTCGTCGACATGTCGAAATGTCGACAAAATGTCGATATGTCGACTCAAATGTCGACATGTCTTTTTTTTCCTCTTCTTCTTTAAGGTTATTTTATTTTCATCATCTTCTTACTATGCCACTACAGTCTATAATTTCTCACAACCTCGATGATTGTAATCTTAGTCTGTTCAATGAAACATTCGAATTTTAATACTGTATAAAGTATAACTAATAAGATTTGGAATTTGCTTTATTAATAATTTCTAATCCAATCTAGTCCCCTTACTTACACAATTGAACAATATATGTGAAATATTGACACATATAAGATTGAAATAATCTTAGAATTTTTAAAAAATAAAATATTATTATATACAGATATTGGTGA